CGAAGTCATAAACTATCCATGCTGCGAGCTTTGGAAATGGACGATATCTGAATATGACTTTCCGTTCATGGGATCTGTACGNGTACCCGCTATTGCCTGCCACAATGAAACATTCCTGGGCTGTCAAGACTACGCCTCAGCTAGAAAAACCGCGATATGTTATCTTTGCTATGCAAACTGGTAAAAAAAATGTCATGAAAGCAAATAAAGCTTTCTTTGATCATTGCAAACTAACCAATATAAAACTATATTTAAACTCTGAATTTTATCCATATGATGATCTGAACGTAGACTTTGAGAAAAATAAAGTCGCCATCTTGTATGATATATTTACACGTTTCCGTAAATCTTATTATCAACTGCATCACAAAAACAGTGAAACGCTATTCAATCTGAGTGAGTTTAAAAATGGTTATACTGTAATAGTCATTGACTGTTCGCGACAAAACGACACCATCAAGAGCGGTCCTGTGGATGTGCGATTAGAATTTGAACTGAAAGAGAATGCGCCCGCGAATACTTGCGCGTATTGTCTCATCATACACGATCGCGTGGTTGAATATAGCCCATTGTCCAACGTAGTGCGCAAGATTGTATAAATTGCTGTGCTGACAAAACATAAAAAGCAAGATGTTTTTTAATGAGACACAGTCTCAAAAAATCGCTCGTCATGGTCGTACCAACGTTTGTTGATCTGCAAGGATTCATCGTTGAAGGAAGATTTGTCGTGAAGGAAGTGGCTGTATTGAGAAAGGGGTATATTCTCACGCATTACATTTTTGAAAACCCCTTACCATGGAAATTTTTGACAAAATCCGAAAAATCTTGCGCTTCCTGGTTGATTGCTTATCACCATGGATTGAAATGGGAAGACGGGATGGTCCCGTACAGCAAGGCGAAACACTTGATTTCAACGGCTGTATTTGGTGTGGAAGAAAATGATGACGACAACGACGAACCTTTCATATACGTTAAGGGATACGAAAAACGAGATTGGCTGACGAATATGCTCATTGCGAGAGATGACGCAATTATCGAGACCCTGGATGCTGATTATGAAGATATAGAATCATTGAATAATATGGATATTACTAAAACTATGCGATGTGGAAAACATGTTAAAAATTGCGCATTACAGAATGTATTTAAAATATTTAACTGGTGGTCACAACGCCAGAAAGAATTGCGAGATTTGAAAAATAAAAATTATATCATTAATGTTTGATTTAAAAGATTACTTTTTATTTCTTTTC